GTATTGGAAGAAAAATGGGGAGTGATTGCTAATGGGTACAGGGTTTCTATCTGCAGTGAAGAAAATGTAAATTTATAATGATAATGATTACACAACTCCGTGAATATACTAAAACCTACTGAATTGTATAAAAGGGTGAATGTTATGCTATGTGAATAATAAAGCTGTTATAAAAAACACACTTGGGGTTTGTTGTCTGGTACAGAGGTAACTTTCAGATTTGTGCTGGCAGCAAGAGGGGAAAAACAACTGCAAGAGTGGTAACTGCTGCTAAAGAAACACCAGTGGTTTCTAATTTTATACTGTCTTATATTTTGCTATGAGTTTCGTAGCATTTAATAATGCTATACCAGAGGCCAAAACAGAAATGCCTTTTATATTTTATTATAACAACTAAACTGGGAAATAAACTCACCAATTGCTTTTTTAAAAAGGAAATGAGCTAAAAACAATATAGATGTAAATGGAGCTTAAATAAACCTTTGCTCAGTCATATGAATGTGTTTACAGGGGAGGGAGAGTTTGGTAGTAAAAATAGTTTAAAGTGTTACATTATTTTTAAAAAGCATTTTGTTTCATTTACTGTAGATGGCCAAACATCATTTTAAAACATATGGTAAATTTGTTGGATAGTAAAAAGAAATGATATCTTGTTTCCATTTTCCTATTCCTTCCAGTTCATCTCTTTATTGTAAATCATTTTCCATTGTGGGAGGATATTAAATCAAACTAAGGGGGGGAGCAGTGACTATGTTCATAAATTCATGTTCCTTAGTACTGCTGCCTCTTATAGCCATTTTATGAAGAATACTATGACCTGAGTGGTTAATATTTTTTTAACATTTTTCAAACTGGTGTATTCCTCCTGGATCTGAACAAATTGGGACATTCTTTCCTTGAGCAACTAGCTCATCTTATAGTTCCAGGAACCTATTTACAAAAAAAGAAGGACAAGACTTACGTAATGATGATAAAAGCCCCTTAAATAAAATTTGATATTCTTTCATGAGAAAAAAATCTGGAACTGGTAGGCATTTGAGGAATATTAATTTGATTTGTAAAGATAAATAATAATTAACATGTATAGTGCTTACAATGTCTACTGTTCTAAATGCTTTACCTGACAGACTATGTATGTACAGACATACACACACATATGTGCATGTGAATGTTTGTATGTGTATGTCTATTCCTCATAATTATGTAAATAACTAAAAATTCTTCACCACAACCCCATTAAGACAAGAAAGGAGGGACAGAGCAAGGTTAAATAATTTGTCCAAGCCGAACTCAAGAGAGTTTGGCATCACAGTCCACGCTTTAATAATTACCCTACGTGAGTATCAAGAGTTCTTTTTTTTTTTTTTTTTGTCTTTTTCCATGTCCAGCAACGGATCGCAACCCTCAGTGTTGCCCCCGCACCGGACCGGGGACCGGCAACGGGATCGCAACCCTCGGTGCCGCTCCCGCGCCTCGCTCAGCCAGTGAGTGGGAACCGGTCTGTATGTGGGATCCGAACCCTCGGGCGGGAGTGCCGCTGCGCTTCCCAAGCGGCGCACTATCCAGTGCGCCACCGGGCCGGCCCGAGTATCAAGAGTTCTAAGAAGAACATTAAACAAGCCAATAGATCCTTCCTACCTCCTGTTCAGTACTGTCCTGTGTAAAGCACCAAGTGCTTCCATTGGAAATGGGTTACATCAAAAGCTCATTGTAAAATTCTACAAGAAAGGGGGTGACTACTTTGTTTTTGAATGATCTTTGATCTATGACAAAACTCTCCAGATTTAATGACTGATTTTAAGATTCCAAACAATTTTTCAATCTATTTTTTTTTTTTAAAGATGACCGGTAAGGGGATCTTAACCCTTGACTTGGTGTTGTCAGCACCACGCTCACCCAGTGAGCGAACCGGCCATCCCTATATGGAATCCGAACCCGTGGCCTTGGTGTTATCAGCACCGCACTCTCCCGAGTGAGCCACGGGCCGGCCCAATTTTTCAATCTAAAGTACATTATTTTTAAGATCAAATGTAGGTTAATAAATCCATCTGGGTTTTTTTGGCAGCTGGCCGGTAACAGTATGTCTTTATTTTCCAGCAGATTAACCACTGAGCCACATGATAGAAATACATTTTTGTGTAAGAAATTTATCTACCTTGCTAATTTGCATGGATTTTTAGCTAAAAATGCAAAGAAAAACACACTTCGTAAGGTTATAAGAGATAATCAACTTTAAAAAATAGATAAAATAAAAATTAAAAGAGAGAATGACTTTGGCCAAATCAAGTCATGTAAATTAGTCTGGGAGGAGACTACCCAAGGGTATGGATACAGGTAGGTGTGAAAAATTGGTGTGGGTGGTGGGAGGGGTTGGTGGGCATAACTACAAGTCTACCACACTTAATCCTGCTGATTCTGTCTCCTTAAAACCCCTCAGTATTCCCCTTGAATTCTGCCTCACTGACAAGTTCAAGACCTTCTCTTCCCATACTGAACTACCCCTAACAGTCTCCTAATAGAGCTTGCATTGCTATAATCTATTAGCATGTAAACATTCTGAAAAACACAAAGCTGGTCACATAAGGCTACTGCTTAAAATTCAGTAACTTCCCTTTGACTATTAGAATAAACTACAGAACAAACTCCTAAATGAGGCCCACAAAGTCTTTCATTTTCTAGCCCCTACTTACCTGAGTTATCTCTTACTATCCCCTCTTATGCACCCTACTCCCTCAAAAATGAAAAATTAAATCCTTAAAGGACCATGGTATTTCAATACCACGACTTTCCACATAATGTTGTTTGCATCTGGAATGCCCTATTACTGCTTGTGTCGTGGCAAATTTCAACTTATTCTTCAGGATTCATTTCAAATGCCACAAATTTAATGAAGCGTTTCTTGCCTGACAAAGTTAAAGGCTCCTACCTCTTGCTTACACTGTATCACACATAACCATCAATTATACTGTTCATTCCAATATACTGTAATTATTTGTTTGCAGACAGGTCTAACCACTTACTTCACTGTGGGATGGGGAATATGTCTTTTCTACGTCCATCTCTCCAACGTCTAGTATGATTATTGACACCTAGTACTCAGCAAATGGTTTTTGAATTTAACCAATTAAAATTAAAATGTCCACTTTCAACATTCCAGATGCCAGTGGAACGAAAATTTATCAGACACCCATCTGTTACCAAATCAAACTTTCTCATCAAGTCAGTACTCTCTACTTCTAATATGTTATGTTTCTGTCAAGTCAGCTGAGTGAAATGCAGTTTCAAGTGCACTAGTAAACTTTCAAACTTCAATATGTTAGGAATATGTTAAAAAGAGAACTTAAACATTACATTAGGTATACTAAATTTACAAATGCACCAAAATTATCAAAGTACTAAAACAGGGGCTCCACTGTGGTTGTAGCTAAATTATGAGATTGGTTTTTGTTTATTTTTTGTTGTTGTTTTCCTAAATTCTCATACACTTTAAAGTTTAAAATAAAAACATCCATGTAGTAGTTGTAATAGTAGAATATACACAAATAAGTCTCTGGAAAATTCATTAGCCCAGAGCCTGGCCCTCAGCTTTTCTGTCCCAGAAATCTAATTTGTTAGGAAGACCTAACATTAGAAGAGCTCAGAAAGACTTAAGTACTGTATGTCAAACAACCAAACTGACAAAACAAAAAACAAGAAACAAAAAAGCCAATTTCTTAAACAGTGAGAAGCAGATCCAATCCTGGTTTTGGATTTTTTTTTCAAGTGCCTTTCTACCCAAGGGAAATGATCTGGTAATAGAACTAACCTGATTTAAGAACAGCCGCAAAGTAGATAATTAAGGTTAAACAGTGGATTCAGTTGTACTTTGATGTGGGAGAAAATCAAGTGCAAACAATTTTACAGTTAAAGAGTCTCAGAAATCACATGCCAGCAAACTAACTTGGGCAAGGTAGTTGTTAATGGTTTTAAATCAGGAAGTGGATAAAAACAAAATGTCACTTTTTCACTAGACATTCATCTGATAACGTATGTACAGGTATGCAAATTTAGGCTGGCCGGTTGGTTAGAGCCCCGTGTGATGACACCAAGGGTGAGGGTTCGGATCCCTTGCCGGCCAGTCGCCAAAAAAAGTTAAGTCTAGTGAGGAAAGACGGAACCCCTCGCCCAGGTAAATTCAGTCCACATAGCGTGGAATACTTAGTTTCATGAACTATAGAAAGGATGTTTGTTACTTGACATCAATGTCTACAAATACATGGTTAAAAAGAACATGTAGGAAGAAGCTTGAGGTTCAGAATTGAAAGGCTATGATTAGCGCTTGTGAGGGACCTGCATTGAATACATAAAGACAGATTTTTAAAAAAAAACTTTTTTCCCCTTAACTTTTAAGTTTTAGAAGTTTTCCATTGACGCACGATTGCGAGGACAGGACAGCTCCCTATACCGCACACAAGACTGTGTTTTCCAAATCCTCCTTCCACCTCCACCCCCACGCAAACTCTCCGGTACTTTGATTCTGAGCTCAGATTCGGGCAGGCCTCGTGCACGCAGCGCAACTTCGGGATTGTAACGAAGACCCGATTCTGGGAAAACTCCCCGCCCAGCCACGAGTGGGTCAAGCGTTAAAGCTCGCACCGCCCGACCCCGGAAGCCCTAGCGCTCTCGCTCCGCCCAGCCCCGCCAGCGTGGCTCCTCAGCTCCGGCCCCGAGAGACGAGCAGCCTCGGGAGGGGAGGGCCCGGCCGGGACGGCCCCCAACTCCAGGCCCCGCCTCCGAGCCTAAACATGTTTAACCTCAAAACGGCCAGGATCTCCGGAGCGTGTGGCGGACTGCACACACACGGGCAACTCGGAACGGGGACGTCTCGTGTAGCGCACACGCCCGCAGTCAGCTCCTCTCCGCAGCTCCGGCCGCGCTCACGCCCGTCTCGGCACGGCACCGCGCGGCGCGGGGGCGGGGCGCGCTCGTGAGGACATCCGGGGAGCGCGCGCGTCGCCGCCGCGGGTCTTGACGATGATGTCTCTGGCTGAAGGGTTCGAGGCAGCTTTTGCCGCTGTTTCCGCTGTCTCTGCCGAGGCCTCCGTCCGCTCCTGGTCATGAGAGGTCAGGCCTGGGGGAAGCGCGCGGAGGAGGCGGTGGCGGCGAGGGGCCGCGGCGGAGGGGCTCCGGGGAAAATAACTGAGGCACTCGAGGCGCGGACGGGGGTGGAGAACTCTGTCCTCGGGGAATCCGGAAGAATTATGTTTACTTTTTTTCCGTTTTTCTCCTTTTCCTTGTCTGTGCATTAAGGACAGTGGGGCACTTCTGTTTCTATTTATAGAAAAGACACCGAAACTGCCCAGTCCAACGTCACCCTTCAGAGGTTTGAGGAATTAGCAGCCGTGGCGTCGGAGCCTGGGCGAAAGCCTTTAGAGAAAAGCACCAAACCCCAAACCGCCACACAGTGACTGCAACAGTATTCCAACCTAGGAGTGAAATAGGATGACATAAAGCATGCCCTGACGTTAACTCTGGCTTCCTCCTAGAGAACCGGCAAAAAGCACGGCGCTCGCTCGGGATAGGCTCTGCGTTTCGTCAGCTGCGATTCCGACTTGGGCACCTTCCTTGTCCTAGGAAGTCCTAAGATCTTTCCCTGCCTGTGTTCTCTTTTCCGACCCTACTGCTTACCCCCTTCTTCCCCCTGCAACACACACACACACACACACACACACACAACTACAGGTGCATTTTTATTGGGCAGACTGTGTAACTATCCTTATTCAGACTAAAGAGTCATCCAGCAATTACATGGTGACTCCCCAAAGTATCCCTATTTTAAAGATATTTAGATAACATTCTTTTGGGAAGGGAGGTAATAAGCTTGGTAGCACCATTAATTATTGGATACCTTGTGAGCTTCGGGAAAGCTGTTTCAGCATAAGACGAAATTTGTAGGTCACCTAAATGAAATGTTTATTAGTTATCTATGATATTTAATAAGGTATTAAGATTTTTTTCTTCCTAGTATTTCCAAGCTTTAAAAAATACTGACTCACTCTTCCTTATGAAACTTCTTTGATGTAGAATCTACATCAGAGATGAAGCTGCTCCAGTTGGACAGAGTAAAGGTATCAAGGATTCAGTATGAGTACTCGTGCTCATTAACATCTGCTGGGCACCCACACTTCATGACTGTTTTGCTGATGCCCTCTGCCATTGGACAATTGGAGGCATCTGAAACTCAACTTTTTTTCCATAATGAATGTTCCCTAAAAGTTCATTTGTACAGGGCCCAAGAGCCTTGGCATTAAAGGAGGAGGAAGGGGCCTAGTAATAAATGATAATCTGAAAATTCATCTGCTGATTTTCAGCCACTCCCTAGTGAATAAAGGATACATAGTGAGCAGTTCATTGCCTGTATTTAACTGTTCGCTTAGAATATTTTCTGCTCTTTGATTTTTTTAGGAGACAGAGCCCTAAGGCAAAGAAATCTGGATCAGAGAAAAAGTATTCAAGGGCCATGCAAGCCAACTGTAGCCAACTGCGCAGTCCTCCAGGAACTACAGGCAGTGATGATGCCTCAACCTCCCAGTGTGTTCATTCAAGATTGATAGAAGGTTCTTGTCTTCATTCTGGAGATGTTCATATCCAGATAAACAACATACCTAAAGAGTGTGCTGAAAATCCAAGCTCCAGAAATATACGGTCAGGTGTCCACAGCTGTACCCATGGATGCATACACAGTCGCTTACGGAGTGACTCTCACAGTGAAGCAAGGCAGCCTGATGATACTGCCACGGAGTCTGGAGAACATGGTGGTAGCTCCTTCTCAGAATTCCGCTATCTCTTCAAGTGGTTGCAAAAAAGTCTTCCATATATTTTGATTCTGGGTGTCAAACTTGTTATGCAGCATATAACAGGTAGGGCATATAATAAAACATTGACTTGTTTAATTGCTAAATTCAGTTAATGTTATTTCTTTATTGGTAACCTACTTATGCATTTCAGTTACTTATTTTCTGTTAACTTTTAAATTATGTTTCCTTTTAATTCATGTCATTATTAACTTATGTAGTCCTTTGATTTTTTTTTTTCTTTCAATTAACTGGGACTTATTTTCTAACAGGAATTTCTCTTGGAATTGGGCTGCTAACAACTTTTATGTATGCAAACAAAAGCATTGTAAATCAGGTTTTTCTAAGAGTAAGTATAACAAGCAACTAAAAAAATTAAGTTTCTCTCTGCAGAATTTTAGAGAAATAATTTTGAAATAGGAAATAACCTCTGAGAGAAATAGGAAATAACAGGATATATTATAACATCTGTGATATATTAAATTTATCTAAATGACCTGGAATAAATTATCTGTCCTAATGCCAATTGCCTCACTTTATTTTCTTTGTATGTTTAGTTCCTGATAAAGTAGACAGAATTTAATGTTTAGAACACACTATTTGATCTGATTTGTCAAGTTCCTTTATGTTTTATGAGCTAATTTGACCATATTAAGTAATATAATGTCCATTAAACACTTGAGTTGTGGCACTATATAATTTAAAATAACTAAATAAAATGTCATGGATCCCCATGCCAGGTAGCCCCTGAACAAAAAAAGTATCACTCAATAAATGGATATTGAACTGTTTAGGGCTTTCTTATTTAAAGAAAATTAAACTCAAGGAGTTTTTACATAACATAAATTATAAGAGTCCTAGTCATATAAATCATTGGGAAAATAGTGTGAGTTTATAAAATTTCACCTTAATGCAACTTTACAGGGCTATATCTGTGTAAAGGATCATGCATTCTGACCTGGAAATTTATAGAACTAATCAAACTACAAAGATTTAATTCAGTTTAAAACTAATAAAATTAAGCTAGTAATTGAAATTTGACTTTAAAAGTGAGATTAAGGGCCGAGCCCGTGGCGCACTCAGGAGAGTGTGGCGCTGGGAGCGCAGCAGCGCTCCCGCCGCGGGTTCGGATCCTATATAGGGATGACCAGTGCGCGCACAGCGCTCACTGGCTGAGCGCAGTGCGGCCGGTCTCAAAAAGGACAAAAAAAAAAAAAGTGAGATTAAAAATAAATTGCCTTATGGGCCGGCCCCGTGGCTCACTCAGGAGAGTGCGGCACTGGTAGCACCGAGGCCACGGGTTTGGATCCTATATAGGGATGGCCGGTAGTGAGCGTGGTGCAGACAACACCGTGCTGAGGGTTGCAATCCCCTTACTGGTCAAAATAAATAAATAAGTTGCCTTATTGAATTATCTGAGAATTTAAAAAATTATGCATATAGGGCTGGCCCGGTGGCGCACTCGGTAGAGTGCGGCGCTTGGGAGCGCAGTGGCACTCCTGCTGAGGGTTCGGATCCCGTATAGAGACTGGTCTGCTCACTGGTTGAGTGCAGTGCGGGCGCAACACTGAGGGTTGCGATCCCATTGCCGGTCGCGGTAACGGGTGTGACACCGAGGGTTGCGATCCCATTACCAGTCACGAAAAAGACAAAAAGGAAAAAAAAATTATGCATATAAACCTTGATTAAAATATGCATTTTTGATATTGTTTTGTGGGGGAGGCACAAAAAAGGGTGGTGCAGAGGTAAAGTTTGCTCTAGGTGAGTCCTTTATGTCAACTTGTAGAATATTTGGCTTTGAAACATAGGTATTGTTTTTCATACAGTGAAGAAACTTGTATTTTTTTTTTTTCCTTTTTGTCTTTTTTCGTGTCCGGCAATGGATCGCAACCCTCAGTGTCGCGCCTGTACCGGACCGGGACTGGCAACGGGATCGCAACCCTCGGTGCTGCGCCCGCACCTTGCTCAGCCAGTGAGCGGGAACCGGTCTGTATGTGGGATCCGAACCCTCGGCGGGAGCGCCGCCATGCTCCCAAGCAGCGCACTGTAGCAGTGTGCCACCGGGCCGGCCCCGAAACTTGTATTTTTAAATTTTGTTTAAACATGGTTTGTTTTCTTCACTAAAGCTACGTGAAACTGACTGTGATTATGATTTAACAGGTATTCTGTATTTCTAGTTAAGATTAGTCTTAGAAAAATGTTCTAAGTTAATTAGTCGTTAAGACAGTTCAGTGATATTTAAAATTCTTGCATAATTCAAAGTAACAAACTATAAAATTGTTTATTTTTCAGGAAAGGTCCTCAAAGATTCAGTGTGCGTGGTTACTGGTATTCTTAACAGGATCTTCTGTTCTTTTATATTACACCTTTCATTCTCAGTCACTTTATTACAGGTAATTAGTGGTCCAAGTACACAGTCACTTTTTTTATGAATTCATGTATCCATAGCACTTTGCATATATCTTACTTGCACATTATAATTACTGTATTACAGTTCAATTTTTACCTGTCTCCTTTTAAGTTTTAAGTGACTTATTCAGATTTGTATTGACAGTGGTTTGGCACATAGCAGGTGCTCAATAAATTTTAAATTTTTTTGGTACCTAAGTTTTTGTTTATATAATCAATATTTGTTAATATTATAAGGTTGTTATTGTTGGTCTTTATTTCTAGAAGTAAGGAGATGACTCACTAAAGGACAGTCGTTGATAAGTTTCCATGTCAGATGGGAGTGTTCCTAATTTTCAGCCTTTATCAGATAATTAATTAGAAGTCCTGGTTTCAATGGAGTTGGAGATACGGATAAATCTGGGATATAGTCTGGAGGTGGAGCCAGTATCAGTTGAACTGGATTGGGTAGGTGGGTGAGAAAAAACAAGAATGACTTTTGGGTTTTTAGTGTGAGCAACTGGCTGAATAGTGGTGCCATTTTATTGGGCTGCAAAAGACTGGGGAAGAAAGTTTTGAGGTTTTTTAGGGGAAAATCAGTAATTTTGTTCTGAACATGTTAAATTTGAGAGGCCAAGAAGAATTAAGGAAGTTTTTCTAGAAATAGAACATGAGATCAGGGTAGAGGTTAGGGCTATTAATTTTGGTGTTATCAGCATATAACTGATATTTAAAAACCACAGGACTGGGCAAAACTAACCAGGGAAAGAATGTAGACAGAGAAGAGGGTCCAGTACTACACATGACCACAATCAGAGGAGAAGCAGCAAAGGAAACTATGAAGAAACCATCAGTGACATAGGAGCACAACTAGGAGAGTGTGGTGTTACAAGTCTAAAAAAATAATTCAGGGAGGGAAGATAGAAAAAAAGAAATGACCTTTCAATTTAGCAATACAGAGGGAGTTGGTGATCTTGACAAAAGCAATTCAGCGGGAAGGAGGAGATGGAATCCTGATTGGAGTTGGTTGAGGAGAGAATAGCAGATGTCTGGTATTAATGAATTTTTTAGTTTACAGGCTAGAAAGGTGACAACTATGAAAAGCTAAGACTTTATTCTATGAAAGGAAGGTTTGAACTTCAAACATTTAAAACATCTTAAAATAAGCAAAATGATCTTCCATTCCATTTATGTGAACACTGACATTATCTTCCAAACTCATATTTTTTACATATCAAATTAAAGTATATTAAAGTAAAAAGTTATATATCAAATTGAGATTCTTATCAATACTTTTATATGTTGCCCTGGTAAATTATTTTTCTCTTGTTAGCTTGGTTTTTTTAAACCCTACATTGGACCATTTGAGCTTCTGGGAAGTACTTTGGATTGTTGGAATTACAGATTTCATTCTGAAATTCCTCTTCATGGGCTTAAAATGCCTTATTCTATTGGTGCCTTCTTTCATCATGCCTTTTAAATCCAAGGTAAGAAACTAATTTATGTTTTATAGAATGATGTTAGCAAATCACATTAATCCTACTTAGTCTGCGTTTAAATGACTCCTTTTGTGATTTTCCGGTTTGCTAAATAACCTAATTTTAATTATATAATCTCAGCCTGGCAACCATTTGTTCAAGGACTTGAACTTAAATATTAATCTATTTGGATAAAATCAGAATTATATTTGCTTCAGAATAAGAAAAAATCAGTCCTCCACATCATATATGGGAAAGTATTAGTGATGGGGGCACGTTTTGAGAAGTGCATGATTAGGTGATTTCATTAACGCTGTGTGAATATTAATCATAGAGTGTACTTACACAGACCTCGATGGGTTAACCTACTACACACATACATGTATGATAGCCGTAACAGTCTTACGGGACCGCAGTCATATATGCAGTCCGTTGTTGATGCAAAGTCGTTATGCAGTGCAAGACTGTATTTAGATTTGTATTTCTGTTCTCCAGGGCATCGTCAATTGATAATTGGCTATACGCAATTATTCACTGGCTTCCCATACTCGATAAAAACTTTAAATTTTTGTAAACAGCAAAAACATCTAAGTTTTACATGTAGTATATACATAGAACATTTTCGCTATGTTATTTAGAAATTCTTTGAAAGCAAACCACCCAGTGACTGTAATGAGAACCAGGTTGAGGTTGTCAGTCATAATCTTAATCATTATTGTTATTCTATTATTGTATACTTATAATGCATCTCAATGCAATATTAAGTATTTGTGCTATTTAAGTAGCTTGGGTAGCTCTATTTGTTTATTTTTCCTTCCTTTTTAGGGTTACTGGTACATGCTTTTAGAAGAATTGTGTCAGTATTACCGAACTTTTGTTCCCATACCGGTTTGGTTTCGTTATCTTATAAGCTATGGAGAATTTGGTAATGTAATTAGATGGAGTCTTGGGATATTGCTGGCTTTACTCTACCTCATACTAAAAGTAGGTGACATTACAAATCTTGTTATTGCTCAGTGATTCAGATGATTTACTGATTTTACACACTACTATTTTTCTCTTTAAATGTTTTATAGCTTATCTTTATATCAGTTTGAAGTAATGGCAAGTTCTATATTTAGAAATGGAACTATCTATCTTAATCCAGTGGTTCTGTTTTTTGGGGAGGAGGGAGAATGGACCCCCACATAGCATAGATTATCTAAGGGAGGGAAATAAGTGGAATAGAACATACCCATCCTCAAAAGTAACATTTGTCATACACATAATTCTCAAACTAGTGGAGCATCTTGTCCTGTTCCATGTGTGCTACCCTCAACTTAATAATCATTTTATAAAACTTTACAATCTAAATGTTAAAAACATGTGAACCAGATAAAATTTCTCTATCTTTGAAATAGTTTATATTTTTCTAGATCAAATTGTAACTCTAGGTATTTAAATGTACTTCACCTTGGTTATGAGTTGGCTCAAATCTATAAATTGACTAAAATATTCAGTAGACTTTAAATATATTTAGAATGATATTAGATGTGATACTAAGCATTAGCTTAATATGAGAACTTGACATTAAAGGATTTCAGCTGGGGCTGGCCGGTTAGCTCATTTGGTTAGAACACAGTCTTGTAACACCAAGATGAAGGGTTTGGATCCCCGTTACCGGCCAGCTGAAAAAAACAAAACAAACCACCACCAAAAAAAAAAGAAACCACAAAGCTCTAGTAAAATAAAAAAATGATAGTTAAAAAAAAAAAAAACTTAAAAGATTTCAGCTTTGATCTTTGGGTTTAGCAGATAGGGCTCTTCAAATTAATAATTTATCTCATTCATTTCATCTTTCAGCTTTTGGACTTTTTTGGACATCTGAGAACTTTCAGACGGGTTTTGCGAATATTTTTTACACGACCAGTAAGTCTTTTTATCAGTTAAAGAAAAATACTTTTATCTTTCTTCGTTACAGAAATCTTTTTGTTTAGCAGTTTTACAAGTATGGATTTTATGAGATGATCTTTTTCTTTTACTTTGAGATTATTTTCTAGTACTTTGGCACTTAGGGATATGATTTAGGAGTTTTATTTCTATGATCAGTTTCTTGAATTGCTTGTTGACAAATACCTGCTAATTGTTGCAGTGCTTATGTATTTGAGAGTGTCTTTTCTCAAAATCATTTGACATTTTTTAAGGGTTTAGAAACACTTCCTTAAAAATTTTGTCATGAACTTTTGGGTCTCCTCCTTTTTAAATCCACAAATGGTGGCGTTGTGTATTTCTGTTAACTCATTTAGCTTCTATGAAAATGCTTCCACTATAATTTGTGTACATTAAGAAAGCTCACTAACAAAAATCATGTCCCCGTGGTTCTCTCACTGGAGGAAATTTCCCCAGTACTAAATTCTGTGTGTACAAATAAGCTCACAGCATGAAATTTAACAATTGAGACTCCAGTGCCGTTTATAAACTTGATTACTATGTGAACCCATTGATGTTACAAATTGCAGAGCAAGGATGTCATAAAGAAGGTTAATTTACTATTTAGTAGCCTCAGTGATTCTCGGTACCTACATGCGGTTACCAGAGTTCAGGGTTTGATCCTCAGCTTTGCAGTCCATTAGGTCCTTAAACGATTATTTGGTCAGCGCTGAGGGGACTGACTTACAAGAAAGCCAACCTAATAATGTAGTTAAAAATAAGAAAGGTTAGCTGGTCCAGGTGCAGTGGTGTTTACAAGTAATTGATCACAACCAGTTACAGATTTCTTTGTTCTTTCTCCACTCCCAGTCCTTCACTTGACTAACCTTGAAAAAAATAAAAAAATAGGGCCAGCTGGTTAGCTGAGTTGGTTACAGTGAGGTATTGATAATATCAAGGTCCAGGTTTCCATACTATTACAGGCCAGCTGCCAAAGACTAAAAATAAATAAGGATGAAAATAAAAAAGGTTTATGTCTACAAAGTGGACCAGACTAACTGGCCAGGGTACCTTTTCCCTTAGAGTTAGCAATGTAGAAACAAGTTTTGCTACATCCAATGCAGATTTCTCTTTTCTTTAGACAAGACAATAAAATTCAGAGTTCAGCTTTGTCAGAGTTAATTCAGTTGATGATTATGTGAACGTCAGCCATTTTACTATAATTAATCTAACAAGATTTGTGTTGAAATATCCTCAAGAAAGTACCCTGATTATTTTCTCTGTGAGACAAATGAAGTATAAAGAATATCAGTCATCAACACTGATTTATTCCTGAGTCTCCTGAGATGTCCTGAACATGTATATACCTTTAACTTTACCAGGGAGATGGCAATCACCATCAGGATATGTCTTCACCTGGAGGCAGTCTCCAAAATGCCAGACAAGAGAGATGTTTTTAAAGCTTGTCAGCATAAGTATCTGCAGTGTACTCTGCTAAATGACACTTTATTTAAGGGAAACTGGCACCAAAATAATCTAACAGTATCCTAATTTGTTTCTGGAATCTTTAGTATCACCAGCCTCAAAAAAACTCTCAATTTTTAACATTTTTATCCTTTGAATTTTAGTTTGATTTTGTTAGCCCTAGACATTTAGTATAAGAACTTTAGATCATAACTTCAGATACATCAAGGCAAGTCATGCTTTACCCTCATCACCATGACTGAACTTGGGTGTTCTTATGTTTCTTAAGCCACCTTCTTCCTATCATTTCTACAGAAAGCTGATCTCATTTGTAACATTTTGATTCTTCCAAATTTCACTGAAGATTCTTAACTGTCATTCTGGTTAATGACTAAGTTCTGCTAAATTTGGTGAGGAAGTGAAAAGCGTTTTTAAATTTTTTATTTTTAAGGACGTTAAAAGGAAATTCGAAGAATTGCATTATTGTTCAATTTGTTTTCTTTTGGCAGCTGGCTGGTACAAGGATCAAACCCTGGACCTTTGTGTTATCAGCACCACGCTCTGACCAACTAAGCTAACTAGCCAGCCCCAGTTAGTTCTGAAGGCATTCTACCCAAGTGACATTTTGCAGATACAGTTCCTTTGTAAAATTTTATCATTCTTTCCTAGTACTAAATGCTCTGACTTTTGTGATAATAAGGGATAGTAATTAAAATTATTTTTAGATTTAGTGGCAGGACTCTTTTCAGTGGTCCCCAAACCTTCATTTTGAACTTAACCTGTAGACTTTTCAAAAAAAAAAAAAAAAAATACAGATTGCTGGGTCACATCCAATATATCTGGGCCTACTCAATCTGTGGAACATAGAAATCTATTTTTATTATTTATTTTTGGCAGCTAGCTGGTACAGGGATCTGAACCCTTGACCTTGGTGTTACCAACATTGTGCTCTAACCAACTGAACTAACTGGCCAGCCAAGCTCTGAATTGACTTCATGAACCACTACCATAGGTAATAAGTGGGCTCAGTTTGGCAGTCCTAGGTCATATAATACATGAATATAGATTTTATAATAGTTACATTTCAGGGCTGGCCCGGTGGCGCACTGCTACAGTGCGCCGCTTGGGAAGCGCGGCAGCACTCCCGCCGAGGGTTCGGATCCCACATACAGACCGGCCGCTCACTGGCTGAGCGAGATGTGGGAGCAACACCGAGGGTTGCGATCCCGTTGCTGGTCTCGGTCCCTTACTGGCGCGACACTGAGGGTTGCGATCCGTTGCCGGTCACGAAAAAAGACAAAAAGGGGAAAAAAAAAAAAGTTACATTTCAGATTGCTTAGTCTCTTAAGCCAGTTGTGTTGAATTTGAAGCAATGTCATCATTTGGGAATCCAGTGGACCTAACTTATCTTCCAAGATCCTATTATGTATTATTTAATGATTTTACCTTGGTGCAGTCAAGATGTGGTTCTACATATGTGGTTGAGCTTTGAATTGTTTGTATCCTTTGGAAAAGTTTTGAAATGCCTGGTTCCAGGGAGATTTAAGAAGTACAGCCTCACCTATGTATTTGAGGAACAGGGAAGAGAAGTTTGTAGATGAACAGAGCTATTATCTTTGTAGAGTTATGGAGTGGCTGCCAGCAAGAGACAGTGTTCAGATGTGGATGATATTTGTTCAGTATGTCAAGCTGAATTTCAGAAGCCAATTCTTCTCATCTGTCAGGTAATTATATATTTTTAAGCAACATAAAGACTTCTCTGTGACTTGCAAAAGTCACATTTATGTTTATTATAAGGCAAAAGAATCTACAGTGTTTAGTAGAAGGAAGCATTCAGGGTATATACTAGTAATTTACTTGTGATTAGGTGTTCGGTAGATTGGCTAATTCTTGTCCCTTATGTTCTGATAATTTTTATGCAGAGGAGTGTATGCAGGGGGAAAAATAATCAACTGGCAGATTGAATACCAAAGTGATTGGAAAACAGGCTATTTTTATAATTGGATACTAGTCTTTTAGAACAATACCAATATTTGTTATTGGATCGTGCAAGGCCCTTTCCTATACTTTATAGCAGTTACTAGTAACTCAGACTTTATTAAGCTGTTAAGTCATTATACTTAATCTTAAAGATATCACATAGGGGACAGGATGTATTTTGTTAAAAATGGTTAAATGGATAATACAGTTACAAGAACACTAGTGGTTCTACCACTAACACTACTCTTTGTTTTCTTAAATGTGTCATACTTTCTCCATTTTCTCATTTTGTAAAATGAGGGAAGTAGCGTTCTCCAAAATCCCTTTCAGCTCTGAGGAGTATGATTCTCTACAACATGATGAATTTTAAATGTTTATCAAGTATAAAATCTAGTTCTTAATTACCTTACAGCATATATTTTGTGAAGAGTGCATCACCTTATGGTTTAACAGAGAGAAAACATGTCCGCTATGCAGAACTGTGATTTCAGACCATATAAACAAATGGAAAGATGGAGCCACTTCATCACACCTTCAAATATATTAAGTTGTATGAACTATTAAGGCCACAAAGCACTAGTTTCATTTGGTTACCATGGCTATTGATAAAGGCATTACAGTGGATTTTTAGGGCTTGAAGAAAAAATGTTTCCAAATGGTTTTAGAATATAAGAAGACTTAAGTGTGGAGTCCAGTTTAATCAAGATTAAGTGAAAGAACCTTGTGTTTTAAAATATATATATTGTTCAACCTAATGCATATGCAATATTTTTCTGTCTTATTTGACAGGTAATTGCAGTGTTAAATTGCAAATGTGTTTTATTGTTTGTTACCAAAGCAGCAATTGGAACTAGAACTAGTGGATTTAAAGGAACTCAGGTATTCTTTTCCTGACATTGTTTTCAGAATAAAGAATATTTTTCATAATATTTTAAGATACATATTATCTGAAAGTAGAATTTCCTTTAGCATTGACTTTTATAATTCCCATTCTAAAAATTCTTAAAATTTTCATAAAATTTGTATTCTTAAATGAAAGTTCAGAATTCTGTATTTTACCTGTAACTATCAGTTTTCTAAGTGAAGATTCATTTACTGAGGATGATATATTTTAATACTGTATTAGTCTCTGTAGTATAATTAGTAATCAGTGAGAATAAATGATTTAAATTCAATGTTTGTGGACCTCATACATGCTTCCTGCCATCAGCTTTAATGTTCATGATCTTGCTTTTTGTACAGTGCCATGGAATATCCTGCAGTAAATATTAAAATAATCCACATGGATTATAAACAGCTGGCTTCCTTGATGATTTGAATAGTATAACAAATAAGAGCAACTTCCTAAAAGCTTAGAAAAGAATTGCCCTGGTATCTGGTCTTCTCCATAAAAGTTTCATAATCTTATGCTTGAATCACCATTAATTAATTGGGAGATGGCAGCCTTAGCTTTGCATATTGTGGTTTGTTTGTCTTTAGGTATTTGTGTAGGGTGGTGGAAAAGAAAATATGAAGCACTTTATCTCTCTCCTTGATACTGCTAAGGAAGATTCTGAAATCTGTAACAGAAGTCAAGGGCTACTATTGGTTATATCTAAGGTTTCTGCCCTTTTCTCTATTACCATCAGTTTGTACACAAGGAAAAGATAGTGGGAAGAAGTCAGGAGTCAGAGGTAAAAACAAATTTATGATATTGATAAGACAATGGCTAAACCAGCAAATGGATTTATAAAGATAGTGACCAACCAGCTATAGGTGAAGTCACTTTCATGCCTATATGGTCACTCAAATTGACAAAAAAAAATTAAGAAGCCTGTAACTTTCTTCTCCAACTAAATACTGCCAGGTTACAAGTACAACTATTTCTGTTCATACAGTTACAATATAACTGTATTATCTACTTTGAGAACCACTGCAAATATTTAAACACACTTACTTGGCCTTAAACCTTCCTGGCTTTGTGGTGAAGCTAATGGTTGCATTATTTACGTATATAAGGAGATGGGTGAGAAAAGCAATTTGGGATTATAATTTAGCCAGATGACTTCTTGTTCAAAACAGAGGAATAGTTTTTACTACTGTTACGTCAGCCCTATTACAATACCTATTTACCCTGTAGCTATTTAGACAGCTTTGTTTCTTAACATGATTAAATAAAAAAGTCTATGGTAGACAGTGGTGGGTGTTTTGGAATAGTTTATATGTGAATTGAAAAGGGGGAAAATGTAATAGGAGAGCTATGCCATCCACTAACAATGCTGATGAACTGGAAACATTTCTCTATTTCTGTCCTTCACCTTGAACAAAGGGTAACATAGATTCAAAAACCCATTTATTCCGTGAATTCAGATCGTGCCCACTAAAAGACTGTTTTGCCAACATTAAGAGATGCTACTATGTTTTATAAAAAGGTATAGTTTGAGAACTTCTGTAGAGAAATCACCTTGGCAAGTGTGATATAATTATCTAATAGGTAAACTGTGGTTTATATAAAATGCCCATCTTACACTAAATATATTGAGACATTAGTTAAATTTGTGCACTACATTATTTTGTGCATACACATCAAATTACAAAATGAAAGCTGACAAGTGTGGGTGAATAAATTGTTGACTGTTAGCACAAGAAAATCTTCCTATAGTTTTTACATGAAGCTAGCTTTCACGTAACTTGTCATATGAGCTTTTTTATTTAAAGCAAACAATGCAAGACTGCTACTTGATGTAACTTGAAAATCAAAGGTGTAGCATCTGATATATAAAATCAATACTAAAACTTGCTATATATTTAAACAGCTTCAATTTCTCAGTAGAAACAGTTTTACAGCTGTTACATAAACATTTTTATTAAATATGAGAACTTGAACATATCTGGCATGTTAATGAAAAGAAATTATTTAAGCCACTTGTACACCTGATATAGTATATATAAAGTTATTTCTTCCTATCTTAGGAAAACTAAAAAAGAAATCACTTCTATTTTATGTTCATTCAAATTTGCATTTAATTTCTATTTACATTCATTCAATCCGAAATCAAATATCTTAATACAGTAAACTAAATACATGATGAAAAGCAGGAAAAGGTATTACCCTCTTAGCACTCCTAATAAGGCAGCTGAAGAATTTACTCTGATAGATGCAAAGCCAACTTGGAATAAGAGAAACATAATAGTTTAAAGAGCAAACACAGACACAGATGAACCCATCTTTCAGATGTTACTCCAGATAATCCACTGAGATAATACTTGTGCTGTAGTGTTAAGAATCACACACAAGAAGTACTGTATTAATCAGCAAAAGATCACAGGTCATGTGTGACAAATACTTTAGGATAGTTTGGTCCAGCTTACTAGTGTCTACTCCTATGAAAAAGGGAGATGTTTAGACATTGATTTTTTTATTTGAGAAATTAACCATTTTCAAAGTCTCAAAATCCATTCTTCATAAATTCAACATTTCTCATTGGAATAATCTTAGACCTTAGCCCTTGTAAGCTAGGAACCATATGACTAACTGAATATTCAATATAGGTCCTATATTAAATATAAAATCCAAGGCTCAGTATATTAATACTAAGATGCATCTTGTTTATAATCATTTATTACCTATAGTAAAGAATGTTGAATTTATGGAGTATGATACATGTATCCTTCTCCCCTGCCCCTGAAATTACCTTCTGTCTCAAAAATAGTTTGGAAAAATCCTTCTTGAAGGATTGAAATTAGATAAGACCATAAAGGGAGGAAAAATCATAATTTTCCTAAAAATCTGTTTCAAGTTCAATAATTAATACTTTACATTGTTAATCACAGCTGATTTATAAATCCCAGTTCTTCTGTAATGCTACAAACCTTATAAAATCAAATTAGTAAATTTCAGTTCAGTGATTATATTTTAATTAAAAAACAGCATGTATAAAATAAAAAAATATCCTGTAATATAATAGCTGATTTTAAAGAAAATAATCAAGTGATGAAAGAAAAGCACTTAATCTCTTTTATACACTTACCTTGTATAATCATAAAGAACCCTCTTAGAAACTCAAGACTAGTAATATTGACATCATATATTTTAAACTATGCTTGGATTTTTACAAATAAATATAGGGTAAGCCATATTGCATAGGTGTATGCTTTCTGTCTGTGACACTAATGTGACACTTGACATGTTTTCACAGTCACAGTAGGGATATCCATTTATAAAACAATTTCTCAATAAACTTACCACAGCATGGGAAATTAATTTCACTTAATGTGAAGTAAGAAAAACTATATATTTGTGTGGATGGTAGGTGTGCAATTAATGCTTTTTATGCAGAAAAGTTGCAGGGTTTGCCACTATTGTTGGCAATACCAATTATGAAAACAGTTAACTATGGGGTGGTTATAGCCAGCCAATCACAGTGCACATGTTACTAGCAATTAGAACTGAGGAGGAATATTTTGGTGTAAGTGTTTTACTGGAATTTGGTCAGGCAGTCAACACTACAATGAGTAAACATATTTGAAAACAAGTATCAGTAGCACAAGCCACTTACAGTCTGAAATAATGCATGTACATATCACCATAGTTTTTTGGGTTCTATTTTTTGCAACATCACAAATTGTCAAGAGAACAAAGATCTGCACTTTAAGTACAATTTCTGCCCTTAATCATTATTGTAGCTTCTAACAGTTATAAAGTTCTTAGTAGGCTGCTGCAATAAGGGAGGAGGGGGTCTGGGGGGAGTGATTGAAAAAAAAAGGATTTCTGTCCAAGAACTTTTATCGATTCTTTGATTTATTGCCACAATTGAAAAGGTATATTTCCAATCATTTTTCATGGTTCTGTTTTTGCTTACTGTCATAGGATTTCATCCCATCTCACTTAAATTGCAATTAAAATAAGCAAAGTCTTGCTCTTTTCTGACTAAATTCGACATGCGTCAAGAATTTTATGGCTTGAATCCTATGGCTCAAAAAGGTTTGAAGAACACAGCAAGCAGCATCTATTTAAAAAAAATCCTAGGGTTGCAAAATATTACAAATTGACTTTGCACACTCAGACTGAAGACATTACAAAAGACAAACAAAAATAGGTGATTAGACTCAACTGCAACTGCATGATCATCTATTATACCAGTATGCACTGAAATGTATTTTTATAAAGCTCTGCAGATATTAAACCCTTTCACCAGCTAAAGTCATGGAAATGCTCTTTAAGGCAGGAAAATATTTAAGAAAGGTAAAGTTACCTTTATTTTCATTCTTTGTACCTGTAAATCACTTTATGTAGATTTTGTTACAATTTCAAAAACATAGTGTCCTGTTAACAAGTTTCCTAAATTAAGCCACTAAGTTTTCTTATTCACTGTGGAAGACATTCATCAAAAGGCCATCAAGTATTTTTATAATCAAAAAATGTAGCCCCAGTATAGGAGAAAAAAATTAGACCTTTTTGAAACTTCAGGAAAAAAATGTAAGGTAGATAGCAAAAACAGTAAAAAGAAGTAAAACTTAAAACCTTACAATTTGCTGTAAAGAGATTAGACAGAGAGTAGACCACGGCAACACCCTCCTCCCCTGAATATCCCTATCTCCCTCACTCTGCCGCCCTCAGTATGCATTTTTTATCCTGACTCTCTTGCATCGTTCTTCAGCCACAGGCTGAACACATTTGGTGTCTTGAACCAAATACTGGTATAAGAACAGGTGGTGGTTTTTTTCCAGTGCAATGCAGGCCCACAACAAGGATGAAATAAATGTAGGACATACAACTTATGCCCATTCCAAGGCTTCCAGTTAAGCTTAGCACATAGCAGTACTGCAAGTAGAAATGATTAAATAGATTCATTTTTTTTCTAGTATTACAGACAGGTATTGCAGCTGGGTTACTGAAATAAACCCCAAGTCCACCCCATTCCCTCAAACGAGCCACAGCTGTGGTTAACAATGATTCTTTTGCATTTTATTATTTCACCAAGAGAAGAAACAGAAGTTGTCTGGCTTTCTTCACACCAACCAATAATTTTGCATTTTTAAGTTTGGGATGTTTTCCATAATGAGCTGAATCAAAAATCTATTTGAAAAATATATATTTATATAAAAAAAAGATTCAGGTTGTTTGCACGTAAAACATCGATTGATAAGTTTCTTTTGTCTTTGATTCCATGTTGCTGGAAAAAGTCTGACCAAGCTTGCATGCTAATTTGTCCTTAGTTGCAAGTATTATAGGCAATTTCGTACTTTGCCTAATGAAAGGATAACCCTTCTTCAACACAATCAGAACTCAACAGTGATTCAGAAGCAACATCC